CACACACACACACACACACACACACACACACACACACACACACACACACTCATACACCCATACATACACCCAGACATACATTCACACACACATACACATCTACATGCACACCCACACATACACTCACACGTACACCCACATATACACCCACACATACACCCACACGTACACTCACGTATACACGCACACACACATACACATCGAGACGAACCAGTCACTTGAACTAGGTCGCTATTTGTGTTGTAAAAAAAAGAGCAAAATTACTCTCAGTTTCTTATCGGAACCAAAAACGAGAATTTATTTGCTACGGTTTGTGCTGGAAAAAAACTATTTTCCGTTAGTGCATTAAAAATCGTTCAGTTGTGGCAATCGCATAAAAAATTGAAGAATCGAACCTGTGAGGCCGGGAAATTTTGTTGAGCAGCTTGAACCGGTACACCTACACATATACCCGCACACCCACACATACACCTACACATACATTGACGCATATACCCACACATACACCCACGATACGCCCACGCATACACCCACACGTGCATCAAGAGATGCACCCGCACATATATCCACACATATACCCACACATACGCCCACGCATACACCCACATACGCATACATATACATCCACATTGAGACAAATCAGTAAATTAAACTAGGTCGCTAATTGTATCTTAAAAAAACGAGCAAAATTCCTTTCAGTTTCTCATCGGAACCAAAAACGAGAATTTATTTGCGACGGTTTGTGTTGAAAAAAAAAAACTATTTTCTAATAACGCGTTAAAAACCGTTCGCTTGTGGCATTCGCATAAAAAAATTAAATTAAGAATCGAACCTGTGAGGCCGGGAAATTTTGTTGAGCAGCTTGAACCGGTTCCGTTGGATATCTGGCTTGTTGTGGTACAGTGTGTATTGTTATCTGATGATTGCCCTGTTGTGGCCGTACACCTTCAACGTGTGCTTCGCCTGGTGCAAACTGCATACTGGGATTCCTGTAAAAAAGATGACAATAATTCTGAGCTCGAATTATAAACAAAAACAAATTAGTTCATGGCAAAAAAGAAGTTAAAATTTGATATTACACGTTGTTTTAGACCTCACTGCACTGACATTCATTGGTCCTGAGGTTTTCTTTACCAACCCTCGTCTACCCCACAACTCAGACGTTCCTATTTGGAATGTTCACTTCTTGGTTGGGCCTTCATGGACCCCTTTCTACCCTTTCTATTTCATACTGTTCGCTGCAACATTTACCCCTCCTTCGCCTCGCTGGCTAAGCCAGGAGCACACAACTAACGATAAGTAAGGCAAAGAGGGACAGCGCAAAGTCAAAACCGTTTTAAGGCACAAGGATATCAGAAAAATCGGGCTCGAATTCTACGCAAGGTTTTCAAAACAGTGCCTTGTTTCTTGGTGCAGAGCAGCCTCATGAATTTTCACACAGTTTTACTTGTGCGGCATTATCTTACTTGCTCTCAGCTTTGCCTAAGCATCAGCTTCATAAACTCTATGCTGCATAACTTTCTTGCAGTTGTTACACTGACAATCCTGCATCGCCTAGCAGCTAGTCCTGCTGGTCATAGACACTTTCATTACGCGCATATCACGCATAAATACACCCGCGTAGCGAGGCATACGAAAACCTATGACGCAAAATCAATCTGAGATATGACTGAAATAGTAGAAGAGAGAGGAATTAGATTCAGATGTCATTTGTAAGAAGACATTTATTTTGATGCAGTCTGTCTGTGTCTCATCCCTTAGCTGTAAACACTGATCGAACTTTGAATCCGGCCTGTGCGACTTACACCCCTTTTTCTTTGAAGAAAGTCTGTAACGCAAGGACTGGATTAAGTATCATTTTATAGCGCAATCTGTCTGTGTTTCATCCCTTAGCTGTAAACACTGATCGGACTTTGAATCCGGCCTGTGCGACTTACACCCCTTTTTCTTCGAAGAAAGTTTGTGGCGCAGTCTGTCTGTGTCTCATCCCTTAGCTGTAAACACTGACCGAACTTTAAATCCGGCCTGTGCTGCTTGTATTCCTTTTTTCTTCGGAGGAAGTTTGTGACACAGGGATTGCACTAAGTATCATTTTATAATGCAGTCTGTCTGTGTTTCATCCCTTAGCTGTAAACACTGGCCGGACTTTGAATCCAGCTTGTGCCACTTGCATCCATTTTTCTTCTAAGAAAATTTGTGGCACAGGGACTGGACTGAGTATCATTTTGTGGCGCAGTCTGTCTGTGTTTCATCCCTTAGCTGTAAACACTGACTCAATTTTAAATCCGGCCTGTGCTGCTCACATTTCCTCTTCTTTTTGGGGAATTTTATAGTGCAGGCGAAGTTGACCGAGAACTTACGGAAGATTCCTAGGAGGCAACCGTGGAACTGTTGGGTACTGTCCCGGTGCATGTGGTGGATGTGTTACTACCGCTGCGCCTGTTGCTGCTGCTACTGCTGCTGCTGTTCCGCCATCAACAGTCGGAATTGTGAACGATACGGGTTGCTGTTGCTGCTGTTGCTGCTGCTGTTGCTGTGGAAGCGGTGGTGGTGGTGGTGGCGGTGGTTGGCCAGCGGTACTGCCATTGACCATCGAAATTTGTCCCGGGGGCAATACCCCAGGCTGTATGCCCGCTGCTGCAATGATGTGCTGACCACCATAATCGGGATAACCTGAAAAACAGAGGCGACACACATATCCCCACATATCCCGCATACATATCCCCCTTCTCAACACCGAATTCATTGTCTAAATAAGTACTGTAGAAATTTTAAAGATACAAACAATGAATATCGCTGGCTGGGGAGAGACTGGGACAAGGACGAGGAAGATTGGAACGAATCCCTTTTCCCCTCCTTATTTCGCTTTTTCTTTCGTTTTCTTCTTTTCTTCATCTTTTCTACTTCATCATTTTCTCATTATCCTCTAATACATAGAAATTTTAAAGATACAAGCAATGAATATCGCTGGCTAGGAAAGACTGGAACGAGGACGGGGGAGACTGGAACGAATCCCTTCTCTCCTTCTTATTTCGCTTTTTCTTCGTTTTCTTCCCTCCTTCATCTTTTCTACTTCATAATTTTCTCTTTATTTTTTAACATACAGTTTGTTTGGCGCTGCAAATACTTCGGATATTTTGATATTTAAAAACCAAGGAAAATTTTAGAAGTTAAACCCATTGCCCAAGTTA